TTCCACTTTATTTGTGACATTTGGTGGGAGTGTAGCCTCCAGGGAGGAGAGGAAGGAGAACTTGATTCACTGGAAGCCACAGTAGATGTTTGGCACAGGGAAAGTGAAATGACAAAAAGAGAAAAGTCCTCTCTCACTGAGTTTGTGGCCCTGAATAATCTGAAAGGTGGTCCAGGGACAGAGTTTGGTAGGCTTCTCTCCAACATATTTGCCTTTTCTGCCTTAATTCCATGAAACAAGTGGTTTTTTTTTAAAGGAATTAAGGCTCATTTTGGTGTAATTATGACCTTTGGCATAATTGTACATCATGATAGGAAAGTGTACTTTAGTCTTGGCTGTCAATTTCTATAGTTTTGAAAAAGAATAAAGACAACAGAAATATGTTGGCAAACCTTAAAGGAAAGACAGAGAGAATCTGATGTGTGCATAGTTAACATCATTATTTCTCAGACAAGAATCTTGATCTTTATGAGAAATTGTTTAAACAGCTAATGAACTCTACTTCCCAAGAGATCAAACTGTGATCAACAACCAGGAGCAGCAGCACCTGTCTAGGTGTTCCTACTGGGCTCCTTAGTACATGGAATGAACCAGACACTAAATTTTCATTTGCATACACAGGAAATCATGCAGCAAACTCATTCAGAAGATTTTACTCCAGATACACACTCAGGTGTTTTTAGTAGTGCACATTTATCTGAATAAACCACATGAATAATCCATAATAATAATCTCTCACTAATTACTGGGTACATTTCTAGCTCTGCTTCTTTCAACCCTCTAGACATGCACATTGACACCTGTGAGATTTTCTCCTGCTTAATCTTGGTGGATTAAGACCAGGTAATTTTCTTAATCAGTCAAAGATGAATGGAAATGGTAATATTCCAAACCAAACGTTTAACATATAGTCTTTAATGGTTTCATTGATTTTATTTTCAATATCAGTAACATATAGAAGGGTGATATATAATCCTTTAATATAAATAACAATACTGGTTACATAATGTGTTATGTTATATATCCATTCTTGAGTTACTTTGTAAATATTGCCTATGCATATATGTTTAAATTTATTAGTGTACTTATAGAATGAAAAGGTTTCATAATATTTGGATTCTAAATATTCTAAATTTGTTTTAATATTCTAAGTTTGAAATGCTAGAATTTTATTTATTACATGATTCTGAAGTTTATAGGGAAATTGTAATGCTTTTTATGATCATGAGATTTTTCCTTTTTCTTCTATTTTTTATTAGAACATATATGAAATGTGTAATAATTACATTCATTTTGAGGAGTTGATCCATTCACACAACACTTCTATAAACACACCTACTAAGCATCAGAACTTTCCAAAGAAAATAAGTATGTAAGTAAAAGATAATTTCTAGTTTTTCGAAATATTCAAACGTGTGCCTACAAGAGGAGATTGTAACACTTACAAAGTTTTATTTATTTGGTAGCTAAATCACTAACGGTAATCTAAGTGTACTGGTTACTGATACTTTAAGGATAATCCATTGGCCATAATATCCTTTATTCAATATGTGTAGCAAATAATGACATAACATCCTATATTTCGTCTAGGTATATAGCATCTTATATACATTTCATTAAATAATTTTTATGCATCTCTGAATTATATGCTTTGTTGGCATTTCTGGGCTGAGAAACAGTGGGCAAATCTCATGAGGCAAATACAAATTGTAGTTATATTTCTATCGTGTAGAAGACATCAGTATAAATATATAAACAACCAGTTCACAGGGAAGGTGATTTCCTGTCCTATATAGCTTGACTTGAGAAGAATTATTTGTTGAATTGGTGGAGAGGGGAGGCAGTGACAATGACTCATCTACTAAGTCAGTTGGTGTTAGGCATTTGTATTTCTCAGACCTGATCCCACATAATGGCAAACTTAGCCCCAAAAAGATCAGTGTGTTTTGTTGTTGTCCCCAAGAGCTCCAAGGACAAACAGCTGTGACTTACCTGATAGGAAGTTGCCTGAATGTGCTGGTCCTTTTCCCTGTCATCACCTGAGCCTGAGAGATGCCTCTCTGTCAGGCCATTATCTATTGCTTAGAGGCATTTGTCCTGTTCTTCTCTGAATTTCTTGCCTAGTGGTAAGACTAGAAAATCTTTGCTCTATATTTGGATCTATCTTTGTATGCTATGACTTTGAGCAAATCCCTGAATTATTTTGAGCTGCAGTTTCATTTACTAAATGGTGAGACTATTTTAGTTACTTTGCAAGGTTGTTTTAAGAAGCTCACAAGAAGTAAAGTAGAAAAGTTTGTTGAATTGTAAAGTGCTAAATAGGCATAAAATATTGTGTCTTTCCAACTATGTGCAGTCCAGTTGTTTGAACTTAAGTGATCAGACCTCCAGAGTTTGGGATTCAATGGTCTCCAATGGAGTTTGAGAATTTCATTTCTAACATGTCTCTAACCATGCTAATGTTACTTAGGGAAACATTGGTGCTCTATAAGTGCCACTC